CTAAGCCAGGGAGATCCTGATTAGGACCGTTCTTGCAGCCCAGACTGCTTGAGGCCCCTTGAATCCCACGACCAGGCCAGGTTCCCTAGCTATTCTCCTTCCCCCAAGATGAAGTAATTGGGAGGAGCTAAGAACTCTTAGCCCACCTCCTCATTAAATATTCACCAATCAGGATTGCCTTTTGTTTGTCAGAAGAAGTCCCAAGGATATACTGTCAAAAGGAACACACCTGGATTTAAAGCAGTCTGGAACACTTGCTTGGGGTCTTTGATCAACAAAAGAGATTACTGACCCTTGGCTTATTGATTATTTGCTAGCCTAATTAATAAATCAAATTATCACACTCAAAACTCCATCTTTCAGAATTTCACCTGTGACACCTTACTATTAGTGATTTGGATAAACCTTTCATATGATTAGTAATAGTTTACATTCTTCTTTTAAGAATTTTGTTCATATGTTTTGACCACTTATTCACTGGGAAATAGCTCTTGGTCTTCTATGTTTGCGTCAATTCTCTGTATATCTTACAGTATCAGAGATATTTAAACCAAATATTTTTTTCTTTTTTCTTTTTTTTTTTTAGGCAATTGGGGTTAAGTGACTTGCCCAGGGTCACACAGCTAAGTAAGTGTTAAGTGTTTGGTCTGAGGCCGCATTTGAACTCAGGTCCTCCTGACTTCAGGGCCGGTGCTCTATCCACTGCACCACCTAGCTGCCCCTTAAACCCAATTCATTCTTACCCTAGCAACATTGCTTTTGCTGTAGTAAGTTTTTCAATTTCATAAAATTCAAATTATCTATTTTATCTTTTATAATTTATCCCTTGCTTCATTAAAAATGTTCCCACTGGCCATGGTTGTGAAAGGCATCTGTTAGCTATGATGATAAGGATGAATTTTTTTAATGGTGTAACCCTGTATATTCAACCAACCTTACTGTCTACAACTTGCAAATATAGGCCCTCTACTTTAGCTAAATTGGTCTCCTTACTGCCCCCTGAATAACTCATGCTCAGTCTGACTCTAAGACTTTGTTCCTGCTATTTTCCACCTTATCCTTCTGACCTGCCCCCCCTCCCCACATCCTTCTCCTCTACCTATAACAAACCTTTTCTCCTTCAAGGTCTTACCTAAGTCTCTTCCCCTCACAGAACTCTCCCCACATCTGCTGTAGACCACAGTAATCTTTTTCATCTATACTCCTTTTGAATGTACTTAAAAATCAGAACTGTTTTCCTGGACACTCAATCATAGACTGACTTGTATTGTTATTTAACTGTTCAATGTGTGTGTGTGTCTTTTCTCCCCAGCTAACCTGTGGGCTCCTGAAAAGCAGGGACCAAATTGTAATGACCTTTTCTATGCCCTTGAGGATTTAATCACTCAGATAGCAGGTGCTCAATAAATACATGTTGAATGAATGAATGAATGAATGAATGAAAGAATGAATGAATGGAAGAAGGAAAGGAGGGAGGGGAGCAGGAAGGGAAGAAGCAAATGAGAGGGAAAGGAGAAGGGTGGGAAGTAGGAAGGGAGTGGCAGGGGGAAAGAGGAAAAAGGAAAGAAAAGAGGGAGGGACATAATGACAAATGGATTGACAAGCTTCCTCCCTTTACAATCCTATTTGCAACCACTCTTCTCATCCTGCTGTGAGAATGATGCTAGAACATCACAGTAGGTAAAAGGAGATCCCTGTAGTGAAAGATAAACCCCTAAATATAAGATGTCCAATGGGATTTTTCTCAAGATTAATTTCCAGGTAAGTTTTGCATGACCTCATATGTATAATTAATATCATATTGCTTGCCTTCTTAATGAGGGGAGGTGTGGGAGGGAGAGAATTTGGAACTTAAAAGTTTTTTTTAAATGAATGTTAAGAATAAATAAAAATTTTAAAAAGCAGTTATTTTCAGGTGTATGAGTTTGTGTTTCGATGATTACAGGATTGTGTAAAGTATAAGCAATTTGTCCATCTTAAAACAAAACAACCCTAACCAGCTCCTATCATTGCCATTAGCTGTTGCCCTATATCCCTCCTGTCCTTGTTAACCAAACTCCTAGAAAAAAAGTGTAAACTCCCACACTCTCTGAAGTTATCAATAATGTCTCAATTGCCAACTCTAATGTCTTTTTTGCAATCCTCTGCCTTATTGGCCTCTCTGAAGCATTTGACATGGCTGACCACTTTCTTCTCAGATACTTTCTGGGTTTTCATGATATTTTTCTTTCCTGGTTCTCCTCCTCCCTATACGGTTGTCCCTTCTTAATCTCATTCACTCACTCATCATCCATGTCATCTATTAACTATGGATCTGTCCACTTATCTTTTCTCTAAATATATGCTCTTACTTATAGACCTAATCAGCTTCCATGGTTCCAATCCTCATCTATATGCTAAAGACTATGAGATCTCTATATCCAGCCTTAACCTCTCTCCTACACTCCAGTGTCATATCAAAATTGTCCATTAGACATTTCAAATTGGACATCCTATAGGCCTCTAAAACTCAACATGTCCAAAATAAAATTCATTCTCTTTCCTCTTAAATACAGCTTGATTTACATCTCTTTTGTGGGAAGCATACCATCTTCCTTCCAGTTGCTTGAGTTTGAAACCACAGTGTCATCCTTGACTCCTCTTTCATTGACCTCAGCTACCTAATCAGCAGCCACATTTTGCCATTTCTATCTTTACAATATCTCTCACAGACATCCTCTTCTCTCCACTGAAATAGCCACCACCTCAGCTCAGGAGCTCTTTTTCTCTCTACTCCAAAATCCTCCCAAGTGGTCTCACGTCTATCGCCATTCAAATCTATCCACCACACAGCTGCCAAGGTGGTTTCCTCAAAGAAGAGGCCTGACCATGTTGCCGTCTTACTTAACAACCTCCAGAGGCCCCTTAATGTCTCTAGGATCAAATATTATCTCCTCCACTTGGCACTGAAAGCTCTTTACAGCCTGGACTCTTCCTATGTTAACAGACTTCTTTCATATTACTCTCCTCTGCACATTTTATGGTCCAGCCATACTGGCCTAATTCTACTCCTCACCCATGATGCTCCATCTCCCATCTCCCATGCATTTTCACTGCCCGTTCCTCGTGCCTTGAGTAATTCCTTCCTTACCTCTGCCTCTGAGAATCCCTGACTTGCTTCAAGACTCACTTCCAATATCACCTTCGGGGTCGCTTCAGAGAAAACTGGCAAGACTCATATGAACTGATGCAAAATGAAGTGGGCATGACCAGGAGAACAATTTATACAAAATAAACAATACTGTAAGGCAAAGAACTTAAAAAAAAAACAGGAATCTTGATAAATACAATCAACCATAATTCCAGAGGACTCATGATGAAATATGCTACCCATTTCCTGATAAAGAGGTGACAGACTCAGATTTGCAGACTGAAAACTTTTTTTTGGGGGGGGGATGAGGGGAGGGAGACATGGCCAGTGCAGGAATTTGTTTGCTTCACTTCATGTTTGTAACAGGAGGTTTGCTTTTCTTGATGGAAATGTGGTGGGGAGGGGGGAGAAGAAGGAAAGGTAGGAGAGAAAGAGTATCTTCACAAAAGTGAAATAATTTTTAATTAATTTGAATTTTTAAAAAAATCTAATGCTGCCTTCTACAGAAGGCTTTCCTCTCTATAGTTACATTATATCTGCTTCATAGGTATCTTCTATAGTACTATTTATGTACATATTGTCTCTCCTATCAGAATATAAGCTCCTTGGGGGCAGCAGCTTTTTTTGCTTATTTATACTTATACTTTGTATATCTAGCTAATTTAGCAAGATGCCTGGCACAGTTGTCATTAATAAAATTAAAGTAAAATAAAATGTAAATAAATAATGCATTTATTTATTAATTTTTCAAATACATTTAGATAAATAACAAATTAATGCATTAATAAAATTAAATAAATTAAAATTCAATTAAAGCATTAATAAAATGCTTGTGGCTTGATGGATGAATTGGGTTCTTCCTTTCTAGAGGTCTTCAAGTGGAAACTGGATGCCCACTTATCAAGAATGTTATAGGGAGGATTCTTAATCAGGAACCTTAATCAGGTTGGATTAAGTGATCTCTGAGGGTCCTTTCAAATTCTGAGAGTTTGTGATATCTGACAGATTAACATCACCTTCTTGAGGGAAAAGTACTAGGTTCGGGGAGAAGAGGGAAGGAACTGTCTGCATTCCCCATTCCTGGAACACTGCCTTGGCATGATAAGTGTTTTAATGAATGTTTATTTGTATTGAACTGAATTATACATACATAGACAAAAAAGATAAATTAAGTGCTGATTCTTTAAATAAGGTTTCTTTTGATAATAATTTCTTTAAGTATATCAATTTATGCTTTTTTTTTACCAGAACATACTCACAACATAAATTATTATACCTCAAGTAAATACCCTCTTTGGATGTATAATAAGTATTACTCAAATCCAGGTGTGAGCTTTAGCATATACCTCCAGAGTCCTTGGCACCATCTGTGGGCAGGGCCAATTACTATAGCTAACCTTAATTTCCTTCTTTCTTTCCTCCATCTTTCCTGTTATTTCAGGCCCTGACTGTGATTGGCGTAAACTTTACATCTTCTTAAAATTCCAAAAGACTCATGGAAAATGCACATCCAGAGAAAGAACTGATGGAGTCTGAATGCAGACAAAAGCATACTATTTTCACTTTGGTTTTTTTTTTCATGGTTTTTTCCTTTTGTTTTGCTTCTTCTTACACAACATGAGTAATGTTGAAATATGTTACACATGTTGCACATGTATAGCCTATATCAGATTGCTTGCTGTCTGGGGAAGGAGGGAGGGAGGGAAAAAAATTTGGAATTTAATCTTTCAAAAAATGAATGTTGAAAATTGTATTTACATGTAACTGGAAAAAACACTATTAAATAAAAAACAAACAAACAAAAAACACTTAATGTCTTATTTACCAGTAAACCTATATGATTGGAAGGAGGAAGAAAAATGATTCTCACCTCCATCAGCAGAAGGTCCTTGGAGCTCTGGGCTTGTACCTTTGGGTGCTGGACCTTCACTGCCACAGTTCTTCCATCATACAGCACAGCCTTGTGGACCTGGGCAAGGGAGGCAGCCCCGAGGGGGGTGTCCTCAAAACTCTGAAATAGGTCCTGGATCTGTCCAGAAGGTAGAAAGGAGGATGAAAGGAGTAAAAGGGTGACCCAATTGAAGCTGAATAAACACTCTAAGAGAAAGGAATCAATATCAATAACTCCCCTTGGCCCACAGGCGTTATCTGTGGCCATCCAGCATCCCCCGGCTCTTTCCAATCACATGGGCTCCTTACTGGAAGACATCTGACTAAAGATAAAGGAGGGGGCCAGCTCTTTATCATCTGTGTATAGATGGCTCCTGAACCCCAGTCCCATATAACCAACATTTCAAACCGGATGTCCCACAGACAACTCAAACTTACCACACAATCCTCTATCGAATTTTCCTGCTAATACCAAAAGCATCACCTTCCACTCACCTAGGCTCACACGCCTGGTATCCTCTTTGCCTCTTCCCTCACACTCATCCCACATTCCAATCCATTGTCAAATCTTGTTTCTATTTTCACAACATCTCTAGCACATGTCCCCTCCTCTCCACTCACACAGCCTCTAATTCAGGCCCTCGTCACCTCCAACACAGACTGTTGCAATGTCTCCTGGTTAGCTATCTTGCCTCAACCTTCTCCTGACTCCCCTCCATTCTTCATGCAGCCAAAGTGATGCGTTCAGGATCGAATATAAAGTTCCCTGTTTGGCATTTAAAACCTTTTCACAATCTGGCCCCTTCCTATCTTTCTAGTGTTCTTGCACAAGACTTTCCCTCCGTGCACTCTACAATCTGACCATACTGACCTGTTTGCTGCCCCTCAAACATGATGCTACAATGTGCCTTCGTAATGGCTGTCCCCCATGCCCATAATGCATTCTCCGATTTGGAATCCCTGGTTTCCTTCAAGACTCAATAAACACTATCTTTTTTTTTTTTATTAATTTATTTTGATTTATCAACAATCACTTCCATATGCTTTTGAGTTGAAAATTTTTCTCCCCCTTCCTCCCCCCCACCCTCCCCAAGATGGCGTACAATCTGATATAGGCTTTACATTTACATACCCATGAAACATATTTTCACATTAGTGAAGTTGTAAGTAAAAATTAAAACCAATAGGAGGAACCATCAGAAAGATGAAACAAAATTCAACTTAAGGTAAAAATAAGTGATAGTGATTCGACTTCCATAGTTCTTTCTTTGGATGTGGACAGCATTTTCCATCCCGAGGCCTCTGCAGATGTTTTAGATCCTTGTATTGCTGAGAAGGGCTCAGTTTAACAATCTTAGTCATTGCATAACGTGGCTGCTATTGTATACAAAGTCCTCTTGGTTCTGCTCACTTCACTCAGCATCAGACCGTATAAGTCTTTCCAGGTTTTTCTGAAGTCAGCCTGTTCATCATTTCTTATAGCACAATAGTATTCCATTACATTCATATACCACAACTTGCTCAGCCATTCCCCAATTGATGGGCATCCTCTCAATTTCCAATTCTTTGCCACTACAAAAAGAGCTGCTATGAATATTTTTGTACATGTGGGTCCTTTTCCCATTTGTTTGATCTCTTTGGGATATAGCCCTAGAAGTGCTATTGCTGGATCAAAGGGTATGCACATTTTTGAAGCCCTTTGGGCATAGTTCCAAATTAATAAACACTATCTTTGACATGAAGCTTTTCCTAATTTCCCTAGGTACTACTGCTCTTTTCCCCCAAACTTGGATTCACTTTGTATGTATGTGGGAGTGTGTGTGTGTGTGTGTGTATAAATACATGTGTGTGTATATACACTATATATGTTCTGTGAATATACGTACATATATTCTGCATATACATTTTCTATACACATAAATATGTGCATTTTTGTCATTGTCACTGTTAAGTCATTTTTAAGTTGTGTCTGACTCTTTGTGACCCCTTTTGGAGTTTTCTTGGTAAAGATCCTGGAGTGGTCTGTTTGCCATTTCCTTTTTTGTTTTGGGGGGGGCTAGGCAATGGGGTTAAGTGACTCGCCCAGGGTCACACAGCTAGTGTTATGTGTCTGAGGCTGGATTTGAACTCAGGTCCTCCTGACTCCAGGGCCAGTGCTTTATCCACCATTTCCTTTTCCAGCTCATTTTACAGATGAGGAAACTGAGGCAAACAGGGTTAAGTGACTTGCCCAGGATCACACAGCTAGTAAGTGTCTGAGGTTACATTTGAACTGAGATCTTCCTGACTCCAGGCCCGATACTCTATCCACTGTGTCTCCTCCCTGCTTATATGTGTATATGTGAATGTTAAATATGTACATGTGTATAAAAAAAGTAAACATGTACATGTTGTTTCAAACTCCATTAGAATGTACATTCCTTGAGGGCAGGGATTGTTTCACTTTTGCCTTTGCATCCCTCATGCTTAGCATAGTTGCTGGTAAATCGTAGGTGCTAAATAATTGCTGGGTGGCTAGGTGGCACAGTGGATAGAGTTCTGGGCCTGGATTCAGGAAGACCTCAGTTGAAATCCAGTCTCAGACACTTACTAGCTATATGACCCTGGGCAAGTCACTTAACCCTATTTGCCTCAGTTTCCTCATCTGTAAAATGAGCTGGAGAAGGAAACAGAAAACCACTTCAGAGTCTTTGCCAAGAAAATCCCAAATGGGGTCACCAAGAATTGGACATGACTGAAATGACTGAACAACAAATAAATGGTTATTTGTTAAACCAGATTTATGTGTTTTATGATTTATGTGCAAAAGAAAAATTATTTCTGGATTATCCAGAAATGTGCATCATCTCATCATATGAATGATTTATCATTTTCCATTGTTTCATGATATTAGCACCCCTCTCCTTAGTAATGTGATAATCAAGCGATGGTGGTCCGTGTGGCCTTTGATAACAATCAGACAGGATGAATTAAAGCTCTGCTAGTCTGTATGACTCTGAAATCTCTGGCCGTAGGCACAGAATGCATATGTCATCTCTCTTCTCTAAGAAGCAGCCTTGGAGAATGCATGTGGCCCCACCATCCCTGCTCCAAGGCTCAGCCCAATCTTACAGCGAGCTCTGGGCTAAGAGCCAAGAGGCTCCATTTTGATTCTCATCCATAACCTTGACTCACTGAACACCCTCAGCCACTCTTCTATCCATGTCCTGGTTTCTCTATCTGGAGAGGGGATGCTCTTTGGTCTCCCATCCTCCGCTCCCTCTGAGATACTTGTAAGGGAACGATGACGTTATAAAAGGAGAGAAGTCATTAAAGAGATCTCCTTTACTGATCTGAATAACAAGCACACCTGATAAGAAGACAGCAAAACTCCTGGTTTCTGCTCACAGTCCTCCCACCACTGAACAAATCACTCAACCTCTCTGAGCCTCTATCTCTTCATCTATAGAATAAGAGGATAGGATTAGGCAGTTTCTAATGTCCCTCCCATTCTATGATTCCATGAACATGGTACAGGTATGTAGTGGGCAGGCCTAACTCAGGCCCATTCCCTGTTAGTTTAGTTTTGATACTAGAACAAAATGAGACACTCATCGGTCATTTAAGAATTGACAAAAAGAGCACAGAAAGGATTTTCAACAAGGATACTGCTCTTAGCTTGGGTAGACTCAGGAGTTCCCTCCCCCCACCTCACCCCGCTTTGATTACATATAGAAACCTATCGGGTCAGCAAGCCAGAGTACGGTGATCCAAGAGGTCTTGGTACATCTGCCAAGTCTAAAGTGCCCTGCCTCCACATCTTATGGGCTTTTAATGCCCCAAAGTGACCAGAAAGTCACAGGAAGGTACATCAACAGAGCCTCAGTTTCAGCCTTAGCTTCCTGCGTCGATCAAGGGGCTAACCTATATGGGGTTACGTAGGGGCAGCTAGGTGACACAGTGGATAGAATGCCAGGCCTGGAGTCAGGAAGACTCATCTTCCTGAGTTCAAATCTGGCCTCAGACATTTGCTCGCTGTGTGACCCTAAGCAAGTCACTTACCCCTGTTTGCTTCTGTGTCCTTATCTGTAAAAGGACCTGGAGAAGGAAATGGCAAACCCCTCCAGTATCTTTGCCAAGAAAACCCCAAATGGGGCCACAAAGAGTCAGACACGACTGAAAATCAACAAAACAACAAAAAACCAAAAAAAACCCTGGAAATAACAGTAGCACCTCCCTCAAAGGGCTGTTAATGAGGATCAAAAGAGATAATAAATGTAAAATTCAGTCAGACGTGACTGAATCGACCCCAGCAACAACAACCACAACCTACAGGGGTGAGGATGGGGAAGGGAAGTGACGACTCCTATTGCAAGGTATAAACACCCCACAGGAAAGGAAAGCAACCCCTTTAATGTCTCAGTGTTTCTGACTTGCCAGAGGCTGGGTGAGGCCAACACTTCCATCTCTTCCATCTGAACTCACTGAGGAACAGAGTAGATATTGAGAGTTATCCTAAAGCGTCCAATCCCTTCTTTCCCTCGCCTCGTACTGCTGCTGTCTTCATCCCTCTCCCTCTCCCTCTCCTTCCTGTGGCGGCAGAAGCCTCATGTCCCCGTCATCCTGTCCCTTTGTTTGCCAAGCCACACAGTTACTCCACTAATCTCTCCTCATAAATCATTCCCTTCAACCATTTCATCATTTTTTGTGGCTTTTGCTGAACTCCTTCCCATTTGTCAACATCTTACCAGGGAGGACGGCCCTGGCAACAGGGGAAGACGGCCAAGGATCTGTTGCTAGTAGGACAGGATGGCATTCCTCCACACAAAAGGGCATGGGTCCCAAAGTCAGACTTTGGGTGGCATGCGTGCACACACACTCACATACACCCACATCCCTGTGTACAGTGGTAAATGTGCTAGATTGGAATTAGAAAGCCTAGGTCCAAATCTAAATTCTGTCATTTACTAGCTCTGTGACCTGGGTCAAGTAATCATTTACCCTCTCTGAACCTCAGTTTTCTCATCTGAAAAATGAAGGGTTTGGACTAGATGACTTCTAAGGTCCCTTGCAGTTTTAAATCTATGGTCTTATGTCTTTTTCCAATCATTTTTTTTTTTTGGTATGGGGTTTACTGGGAGACAAGATATGTCTCATCTT